TCGATTACTGAGTAGTATTGTGTTATACTATTATAATATGTACTACACGGGCCAAGGGGGGGCCCGGACCCCTATGGGCCCCTCCCTAAATACGCCACTGAAGTAACTCGTTGGGGCGTTGCCCCCCTCATTTCCATACATTATATTAACTTAAAGATATAAAAGAAATATACAAAAAAAAAACAATTATTTATTTACTCAAGTTTAATTTTTCACAATAATAAGATTATGCATAGCACATAAACTAAAAAAAATTAAAATTATGTTTAATAATTGTACCAATAAATCATTTTCTTAAAAACAAATACTGCAGGTATATTATAGTAAATGGTATTTACCAGTGGTTCTCAAACTGTGGTGGTACGTCGACTGATTGATAATAATATATACTCAAGTGGTATGCAAAAAAAAAAGGATTTACTACAATATTTATTATATAATATATGAAATATAAAATAATTGTAAATTTTTTTAAATTATAGTTACAGTTGAATTTTGAAAGGTTTATTGATATTTAGGTAACAATTGAATAATTTTTTTAAGACTGGGTGCTAAATCCTCTCCCCTTAATCCCACTTATGCTCGCTGAGAGAATTCGAGCGGAAGTTCAGCCAGTTCAGGTTAATAAATAATAATTTATAATAGTAATCAGCTGTACTCTGTTGACTGTTAGTATCTAATATACTTAAATTAAGTAAGATTTTCGATTAGACAATAGTATTATGCTATATATAATCAATTTTAATAGATATATAACAACTAACAAGTAATTGCTGTTAATACAAAATGATACATAGGTAATGATTTTAAATAATTCATTCAAATTTAACACATACTCAGTATTTCATATAAACTTTTTTTAGTATATAACCAACATGAAAATTTTTTTTTTATCGATATTATTCATTCAAATTTAACACATACTCAGTATTTCATATAAACTTTTTTTAGTATATAACCAACATGAAAATTTTTTTTTTATCGATATTATTCATTCAAATTTAACACATCCATTAGGTAAAGTGATTCTCTAGATACCTACCTAATATACAGCAGACCAAATATCGTAATAATAAAATAATTATTTACTTTGAWAGTGTGATGGGTATTATACCACTGTGAAGTACAACGTACAAATACGTACCTATATGTAGGTGATAATGTTGAATTTGTGTTACAACAATTTGTTATAATAGTTTTTGAGTAATTTGAGAGTAAGGGTTAATKACATATTTATACATCATTATAGCATACCTTAAAATGTATGTATAGTTGTGTGTCATTTGTGATTTCGATGTCTTTTGGCTCTGATCCCGTTCTCATAAATCGTAACTCGTAAGTTGGAATTAAACGTGGCATATTAATTTTTTATGCGATACAGCATAATTATTGTAACAGTTTACTCATTGGTTACACTGTATGGGCCATATGATTTCTAGAAACGTGCGGCGCTATCACTTGGTAGCCACTTTTTATCAAACGAATATTGTAACTTGTAAATTGCCGTCAGTCAGTTGATTCCCGATATCCGTGCTTGACATTCGGTCGCTTACTAATAATTATAGTTAAAAATTTAATATTACACACTATTCAACATACGGCTTATTAAATCAAAATATCGCTTTCTATTATTTTAGTTTTTAAATAGACTCCACTGGGTATTGTTTTAATGTTTTTAAGAATTAAATTTATTTTTACTTAACAGTTCGGTAATAATTTGTTCTCGGAAAATTAAAAGAAACTATTAAATTACATAATGTTTAGTGGAATTTTGTAAAGTGTATCAAAACTCTATATAGTCTTCAGCTCATAAACGACAGTATGTTATTTATTTATTTGTTTTATATTGTTTATTTAGATCTTATGTTAGTCTCTATAATGCATACAGTATGTATACCTACATTTATTATTTCGTTAATAGGCGCCTAAGTATAGTTTTTTTAAATTAAAATGTTGAATAAGCTAGATTTAATACTTTTTATGGTTCTTGGTTCAAATCCTTCATTTGTTGGTCTCTAGCATGAAAATTAAGAAATTCTTATGCCAAAGTTAAATATAGGTACATGTGTAGAGACAGCTAAAAATTTCATGTCTAGGCCCATTGTCAGATACTGACCTGAATCAATTAAAAAAAGTTAAATATTTATGTATGTACTTAACATAATGCCTTTGTTGCAAGTTCAATAGCAAAAAATGTATTCACCTAGATATTAATTGGATTTGTAAAATTATTTTATTTAAATTTGACGAGGTACCTAAACAATATTACATTTTAATTTAATTTAATGTCTATTAAAAATATCAATAAAGGTGTTAATTAAATGTGTGTTTAAAGAAACACATTTTAAAATATTTATAATTAATTATTTTGTCTTTACTGAAACAAATAAACATTAGATATGTACACACATTTAAATAGTCTGTATACTATGAGGTATACTATAAGAAATGGTAGAATAGGTTTTTTGAGTTTTTATTAGGTATTTTCTAAAATAAAATTTTTATTCTGACTTAATAGGAGATGTATTCATTTTAGGCAATACTATTCTTTTTTACCCCCTTTAATTTTGAGGTTAAATAGGATTTGTTTATAATATATTTCATTTAAAGTAGTATTTTAATATTAATATTAGTATTATTAACTAATTTTTGCTTTAGCTGTTTTTAAAATTTATATTAAAAATCTATTGAAATTAACATCTGGTAGTTTTATTAAATTTATTTCCATTAGATTTTATTTTTAAGTATACTTAACAAGAAATTACAGATATCCTCACTATAGAAAATGTACATAACATTATAATTTTGTTATTTATCATACCAATATCATTAGAATATGATTATATTATTTACTTATATCTGAGSTTATGAAATAATAGGTATATATTTCATAATGCAGTTATATAAAAAAAAGTATATTCCCGACTTACATATACAAACATGTACAAACCTTTGAAATATATATATATATATACATTTTATTAATATTATTTAATGAGTTAAATGCTCAGTAAAATACATCTTTTAAGGCAATAAATTATTATTTTAAAACAAACTATTTTGAGTAGTTTTGGATACTATCTATTTTTAATATTTATATATTTATTGATACTTTGTCAAACAAAAGTTTAATCAAATATTATTAGTTATATTATTGGTACCTTATAATTTACTAACCTTTTACTATTTTCAAAACCGTTACTAATTTTTATTTTATAATAAGAGTTAAGATTTATGATTTATTTGGTTTTTAACTGATGGTTAGTATATAAGTTTATTTTTTATCTCTTAAGTATATTAAAAGTMGGTTTGTAGTTTTGTACCATATTTAAAAATGTATTGTACATTTTAGTAAGTATCACTGGAAGTATAATTTGAATTTTATTAAGCTTATCCAAATTGATTTTTAAATTTGCGATTCATATTAGGTATACGTTATTTTAATTCTTATAGTTTCTTTTAATAGATTTATATATTTAGATCATCATATTTGATCGTCTCACATTATTTTTTATTGTTATGATTTAAACTTGTACATTTATTTATTTTAGGATTGTCTACGTACAATGAGACCATGGTTTGGTCTGTTGTGCCTAAGCATTGTCACCTTGTGCGTGGGACATCGTCAGCGTCCAATATATATGAATCAATTCGCCGTGCACATACCAAAAGGCTCTGGTCAGGCTGAACAAATTGCAGCTAAACATGGTTTCAACAACATAGGACAAGTAAATTTACTTTTCATAATTTAATTTAACAATAGATTTAATAGAATCAAAATTACTTGTTCAAATTTCTACAATGGATACACAACTTAAACTTGAATGTAGATCTGTAGTCCGTAACTAATCAATACTAATGAGTTAATAGTTGGCACATACAAAGGTTGATAATAATATGSTCTATGAGTGAATCTTTTTATTATTTTCTTTACATAGTTGTAATAGAAATAAGCTACCTATTCAAAAAATGTTGAAGATCTTGTTATTCTTGTAGTGAAGAACTATTTTTATTAAATTTTATTTGTTGTCTTGGATAGACTAATAAGTTTTACAATTTAGATTATACTCTTTGCAGCTTAATTTTAATGTATAACTTTGTAGTATGTATGGAAGCTTTATAATTATACATCAATTACGAAATATAATTGTTGAAAATATATTTGCAATGTTTATAAGCTTTAATTGAGGTTACAATAATTCTTAAAAACAAAT